ACACTTTATTGTGCGGATGAACACGGCAGCTTAGGGCTGTTTGAGGATAAGGTTAAGCAATGCTCACCCCCAACCCTGCATCTCAGCACGGCCCTGTGGACTCCAACAGCCTCCACAAGCTCTTCCCATTCCACCTGCACGCCCTGACAGGGCCGTTTCTTACGTATTCTGTTCCGTTAGACAAAATTTAGCCTCGCTATTGCAGTTAAAGATAAATTTTCCTCCAACTGAGCAACGAGGGAGCTGTAGCACACCTGAATGGCTAAATTTGTCAGTGTGAGCAGTGATCTGTAACAGCAGCTCAGCTCCTCCTTTAGACACAACAAAACTAAGCGGATGGGCATTTCCCTCCTGGCTCTCCAAGGAGCCTCCTTTGATTTCTAGAGGACTCCTGTAATGCAGCTTCAAGGCGGAGATGTTGGTTCACCAGAACTCTTTGCAACTCTTCAACAGCAAATTTTGATTGCTAAATAAGAAATTGAGATCTCCCACGTACTTGGGTGAAGGGAAATTGAGACTCCAAATTGCTTGCTATTAACCACAATGAGCTGGGCTGGTTTTGCTTTCTTTTCCCTCAAATCCCCTCCCTGCTCCTCCTAGGACATCTTTTCTCTTTCATACCAGTCTTTCAACCACGAATCCCAAGTCAGAAGTCAGATTTGTGTCTTGCTCCGAGGCTTCCTGCCCATTCTCTTACTCATACAAAATGATGCAATTAATTTATTGTAGTCTCACCACAATTGTTTTATTCATCACAAATGTAAGGCTCCTGTGAAGTACACCCAAGAGAGGTAATATCATTTTATCCAAACTGTCCTGATGAAAGAAAGCTGGGAATCCAGGGAGAAATGGTAGGCATATATACTTAGATTGTGTTTCTTAGCCAATATTTCTTCCAGTAAAATGTTATTTCATATAATAATGAGTATACAGCCTGTTCAGGGAAGAAGCCACATAGTAAATATATGTGGAAAAAATCAGAAAGGACAAAWGCTGTTGACAGACTCCTGAATAAGCTTTGTGAGTAAGGAGATGAAGAATCTGCTCTTACCTTGAATGGGTCAGGGATGAAAATGTAGCCTTCTCCAAAGGGTGTGCATATCCAGCAGAGAAGTGATCACAGAGGTTAAAATGCAGCTGTGATGGATGTCAAGGGACTCCTGTCTGCACCCAGAGAGCCAGTCTTAGGGCAYAGGAATTGCCTGAAAGTTGGGGATCACCTCATGGCAAGAGGATCATCCATCCACAACGCAAGGAAGATGCATGGCATGGAGGTCTCAGGAGTGAAGTTGGTTTTGTAGCTCATTTTTAAAGTGTGTTTTGGTCAATTAGGGTGATTTGAGGTGCGCTGGACACTCGTGATGATATTTTAGAATTTGGCAGGAAGACTAGGGTAGGTCAACCCTACAAATCAGCTGTGTAAGCAGGTTGCTATGAGGTTAGGCAGCCTTTAAATGAATCTGAGCAGTTGGTTTTGCCTTGATGGGGTTAGGATCTCGGCTAGAAATCCTGACAAATGAAATGGCATTTGTGGACTTAGCATGTGCCTGGTTTGAATCTTTCTCTCCAAAATGATAGTGAGCTGTGTTCTAAATCTTGGTTTACAACCTGGCTCACACAGTGATTTCTTAATGTCAAGTCAAAATGCTGAAATGATTTCTACCTTTCTTGTGTTTGATTTTTTTCTGATTTTCCCTGTCAATGCCTGAAATCTCCCGAGGCTACGCTAGTCTATGCCATTGACAAGCACACATCATTCCTCCTCCAGTCCATCAGATTTGGTTGTAGTTCATGTTAATGGCTGTGGAGAGCTTTACAGGGACCTGCATTATAATTTTTTCTCTTAAAGAACAACAACAAGCTGCGATACAAAACTGGCCTGTCTCACGATGACATAGCGCCATGAGGTTCCCAGACTGCTGCTAAGAAAATACAGCTCATACGCGTGGTGCCCCTGCCCAGCTCTGTTCCCTCTGCCAGGGGATGTTGAAATTGGGCCGTCCTGGCGCTGCCTTTATTTACCACAGTGGCATTGACTTCATGCGCTGGGGCCCTTTCCATTTGGGTTACCTCAGCCAAGGTCATCATTGCGTAAAGCACGAGCCCGCAAATAGCAGTTTCTTGCTATTTCTGAGGAGAATTACTAGTTCTGTTTGCATCAAGGACYATGAGGAATCCCTGCTACACTTGGGACGTGGCAAAGCTGACTTAGTCAGAGTTTCTTGGATTAAGCAGTAAGAAAAAAAAAAGAGCTTGAAAGATGAGTCACTGCTGAATATGTGCTCTGTAGCTTCTCATGGAAATGAACGTGCTTAGAAAATCATATGATCTGTCTATTTTTCTATATATTCATATAGACATGTGTCTATATATACATGGGTGTGTATATATACATGTACATGCATAGCCTCACGTATACCTATGTATGTCTATAAATATATAGCGTCAAATTCTGAGTGGCATTGAGTGCACATGCTGGGCCATAAAACCAATACACAACATCCCCTTGCTTCCCTCTCCTATGYCTACTTCTCCAAGGGGTTAATGCTTAAGAAAGTAGAGGGACACAAAGAAATGATCTTCTGGGTAACATTAAAGCACCCCCAAGCCAGGATTTTAAGGAATTTTGATGCCCAACTCTTGATGAAATACCAAAATAGATGCTTATCTTCTGCCACTTGCTCAGGTATCAAGGTAGAAATTACTTGTCCTTTACTAGGCCAGAATTTGTCATGGGTTTGGGGATGTGCAGTAACGGTGGCTGCTGAAAGAGTTTATTCCCAAGCTGATATATGTATTCCTCTCACCTGTTCAGTCCTTATGTTATCATAGTTCTTTACCTGTTCTTAAATTGTGCTCCTGGAAGGGATGTGGGGGTTCATTGGCAAGGCTGCCCAGCTGGTTCTGAGGGATAGATATTTAAGCATAAACCCAAATGGCCACATGTGTCTCCAAGCATCTTACCTGGAAATACCCTGCTGTTCCACGCTGCCTAACAGAACAGCAGGACCACAAAGTTAGAGGCCTAAATAGCGCCTATAGTGAATTACAAGCTGCGTCTAGCATCTATAATATAACAGGAAATAAACATTTATGTTCTTTTCCATAATGGAGCTAAATCTGTTCAATGATTTATTCCAACAAAACACCTCTGCTGTTGCTTATTTCTTACGGCTATTTGATTCTGGAGGAGGTATAAGGTTAAGGGATAAGGAGCCCCAAAACAGCTAGGGAGATGGAGCGTTGTACGTCTATCATGATTTGGTTTCTCCTGCTTTGCTCTAATTTAGGTTTCAGAAGATGCCCCAAGCCCTGGTCTCTCTCACCCCATGAGAAGCCTCTTTTGCACAGCCACCATGTTCCAAAGAGAAACCCCCATCTAAAACTGCGCAGAGAATTTTTGGGTCTCAAAGATGGTGTTTATGCGGAGACTGGGCAGAGGGGAGATCCTGAATGTYGGACCCTGTTGGTGGAATATCATTAATCAGAGGATAATGGACAGGAAGGTGGGTGGCTGCTGATAGTTTTGGCTCATTTAAGACGGTTTTGGGAGGCTGCCAGGTGGTGTGTAGAACTTTTGAGACGTTTCAAACAATACTGTCTTTGCAACCTTACCCGGGTGGCTCAAGTGGGTTTTGAACTGGCTCCAGGCCAGTAAAACCTCAGGATTCCAGTGAAGTGTAACCCGGAGCAGACGAGTGTCTGGGGTGCCTGAGGTCACCTGCGCCTGGCGCCCTGCTCGGGCTCCGTGCCTCGCCATAAATGAGAGACCGCCCGTGTGCCTGGCGTGGCCGGCCCCAAAGCCACTCGTTTGTCCCTCGGTGGCTTCACTGCGGCACCTTAGCGGGTGTATGGAACGGGGCTGCAAAGACCTTAGGAAAAATATGATTAAAAATAAATTACTCACGTGTTTGAGCTCATATTTTTGTTCAATCTTGTTTGCTTCTCAATGCCCGGTACCCACCAGCTCCTGCGACGCTGCAGGATGCTGCGATGCTGGTAGTTGGATGTGCCCTGGTCATCATTCCTTCTCCGATGGTACYGCCGCCATCTGGGCATCTCCTCTCCCTCCCCACACGGGGATCTCTGCCTCCTCCTCCCCATCTTTCTCGCTCACCTGATGCTTTTGCATCTCTAGATTCTTCTTGGAAGGCCTGGTTTTCCCTGGGGAATGGGAAASCCCCAACAGGCTCCTTACTCTTGTCCAAAGGAGGCAGTTGCACTATCGTTACCACCAGGAAAACTTTCCTGGACCCTCTTGAGAGCTACAACACTCAAGTCTTTCAGCATTTTAAGACTAGAAGTTTCCTTTGTTGGTAAAAGCGATATTATGTCATTCTATTCATTTAATTTTTTTTTGTTTTAATCTTATTTTAGTTAAATATCATCCTGATTTTTTGTTATTTTTCTTGCAGAAAATAATTCCATTTCCAAATGTGACACAGTTCAGAAAGCTTTATTTATAGGAAAGTAAARCCTAAACCTGAAACTATCTTTTCCTCCCTCCTATGTTTCCATAAACATGATTTCTCCCAATAGAAAAAACTGTAGAAGTAACTTGTCATAATATCATTCATCAAAAAAGGTCTGATAATCCCAGACATTTGAAGCCACGTTTGCAAGTAAAACAGACTAAATGGAAACAGAACGCTCGAAGAATTAACCATTTTGCATTTCTTTTCCTTCCTTGTATTTTAAGAAAAGACTGTCACGTCCTAGGGCTCCTGATATGTTCTGATGGCRCCTTTAGTCTTGGAACGGTAAGTCTTGAGAAAAAATGTTGAAGTGGGAGAAGCCAACGGTGTCATCCCACCTTTACCTACGTGCTGCTCCATGTGGCAGACATCATAGAGCCAGGGAAGGTGTTTCCATTTGCTTTGAGAGAGAATATATATATGTGTGTGTGTGATTGCGTAATAGCTTTGAAGGCAGCAACGTTATAAGTCTCTTGAATRTTCCCATAATACTAAAACAAAATGTATGTTTTCCTGCATTCCCAGAAATAATCCTTTCTGAGACGTGAACTCCTGGTATGAAATCGCATGTTCCTCCCTGCTGGTGAGTGCCTCCCACCCCTGATTCCCATTTATGTTGTGAGTGGCTTTTAATGACAGAACAGGGGAATATATTGTGGTTTCACACATACACAGATTTTATGGTCGCTTATTCCTAGGAGATAGGCGTAGCAGAGCAGGATTCTTTCTTTCTTCCAAGGTACTTAGCCGCTGGGTGCAGGAGGCAGTTTAGCGCCTTGTAATGTAATATTCAGGAGTATCTGAAAGGAGAAAGATRAAACGAATAATCCTGAGGTCTAGAAGAATGGGAAATTGTTTTAGGAGAATTCATTTCGCCCCTAATACTTGTGATTTGGGGCAGCTGAGCGCTTGGTTTATTGCCTCGCCACCGGAGCTCATTGAGTTACTCCTCTTTGCTGTCTCTCCCCCTGCACAGGAGGCTCTGGACTCTGGCAGCAGTGGTAGCTGGGTGCCTATTGCAGACTCACAGCATGGGTAGCAAGAGTGTTTTTATTCTGTCTTGACGCTGGCATGTGGAAATGGCAACTTAAATATATATCCTACCTAGCTGTAAGGGCTGCTCACTTKCATGGTGTCTCTGCAGACGGGTCCCAATGGGATGTTGTGGCAAGTCCTGCCTTCACGAGTTACACGGGAGCAAAGCAGAAATGGGGGGGACCCGTTGGATAATAATGTGTGCTGACTCCCCTGCAGCCGTGCAAAATGCCCCGACTTGGATAGTCCTTCGTATGTGTTTTAATTTTCCCAATTCAGACAAAAAGGTTTTAATTTCKATAGCACATTAGTAATGAAGTACTTAAGACCCGCTGTGCACAGAGCAGCGTAGGCTCAAGTACATGCTTAAAATTAGGTGTATGTTTAAGCACTTTATGCATGACAGCTTAATGGCTCAACCCTCGCCTTTCCTATGTGCCTCGCTTTACACAGCCAAATTTGAAAATATTGGTCTAAATATGTTTGAGTCACTTAAAGTCTCTTCTTCACATATCCTCCATGACATTATTATTTTACAAGCATTTGCCTTTAAAAAAAAAGCAATGAAATATATATTTTTGAAGTAAACATAATCTAATTTGGCAGTGCTTTTGATTGGCATTTCAGCTTTTCTTTTTTAACCAGGATATTAGTAGCTCCTTTACAAGCTTCAAAAATAAACAAGAAAAAGTAAATGCAGGCCTTTGTTTGGGATTTTTTTCCTTTTTTTCTTGGGGTTTCTATCCCCACGTATTTGGCCGTCTGGGGTGAATCAAGGCTGATCCCGGTGCAAAACTATTCTCCAGCAGATAGCCAAGCTGCTTGAACAAATGGTTCGTGTTAGCTGGAGAAAGACACTGAATCTAAACCATGTGCTTCTGGGTCCTGTGGTTTCAAATGGAACCACAAACACTCAGGCAAGCTGTCAGTCTCTATTCACAATTTCACCCAACCTTGCAGGAAAAAGGGGGGCAGGTCTTTGCCCACCAATCATGGTTTTTAACCCTTGTGTGATTAGTGGGGTGGCTTTAATGCTTTACGCTAGGGAGGCAGGCGATTGCTTGGGAGAAGAGGTAAGGAGACTCATAGCCTGGGAAAGGAATAAAGACATACATTTGATGCAACGGGATTAAAAAAAAAAAAATGTGAATTGTGCAAAGTAGGGGTGGAAAGGATCTCAAGTAATCATGCAACCCATCCTTCCAAAGGTGCAAGACTGAATAAACATCAGCCATCCCAGGCAGGTGTCTAACCAGCTCCATGAAAACCATAGAGGAGCAGCTCAGGCAGGTTTTTTACAAACGATAACATATAAAATGTGAGGTTTTGGCACTCGGTAGTGCAGGGGAGGTTGAAGGAGATGTCCTGATTGCCCCCACTTACAATTTGTTGGTTTAGGTCCCAAAGCAGACAGTTYAGGCGGTGCTGTAACCAGGAAAATCAGAGTACCATGGAGCAGCACACACAATCCCAGCCTTCGAGACAGCCCAAGCTCCTAGAAGAAGAAGATGCCTCTGTAAGTTGGAGGACTTTATCCAAGGCAGCTACTTGCAGGTTCCTCCTGTTTTCTTTTTTCTCTAGCATGTAGGTGACTTACGTGCAAGGAAAGAACTGCTTGTTCAGGAACAGAAGCTGCTGGGGAAAGCACATGGGGACAGGCTGCCGTTGTGTTCCAGGAATCCCGCCGGGTTAAACCCTGCTCGGAGAGCTCAGACACACCTGGTTGCAAGCCCAAAATGGAAATGTGCTCGGGTTGAATATTCTGTGAGGACATGTTCTATAACAGCATTGTCTAAAAGAAGTTTCCCTCCATAAGGCCTTTGTAAACCTATATGCCCCGCTCTAGAAATACCCTAGGAATGTTTGTCTGTTAAAACTCTATATCATATTAGGGACTGCATAGAGGGGGAAAAAGAGGCATGGATCAGAGTTTATAATTTTGGATCTCGTTGGTAGCTTATATGGTAAAATGACTGGCATGGCACTTGTTCTTTGGTCTGTGTTTCCCTATGTTCTCACTAAGATAACGTGGTTGAGGACTTCTCAGGAAGACCATCAGCCCAGAAAGGGTTTGAATGGGTTCGTACACCAAGTCTTCTCATGCCTTCCTTTACGATGATGATCTTTACAGCAGGAGAAAACTACCATTTCGAAATTCCGTTATTTCTTCTGCAAATAAGTCCTGGTCTTCGTTGCCAATTGCAACTGTGAAAATCCAACGTGCAGCCTACAGTACATGCCAAAAATTCTGCAGTCTCATCAGATGAAAACGGATCTCTTTGCTAGGCTGTGAAGGCATGCACTGCCACTGGAACGGGCTTTCAAGGAGCTCTAAAGAAACACCTCCAAATATAACTAAAGGTGCTTTTATAATCTCTCTGTTGAGTCAGTTCTGCCCGTGTCTGAGGATGTTTTATGTATGTATATGTGGACAGAGAGTTTTTTGGGCTCTGTTGCTTAATTACATTAATTGACTGATCAAGTAGCCAGGATGTTCCTACAAAGCCTGCTCAGCAAAATGAGAAAATGTCACCAAAACTCGGGACAATGTCACCAGCTCCCCCAGCACACGCTTGCATTTTCTAGCAGACAGGGAATGAGGGGAATKTGATGTGTTTGCTGGTTGCGCCAGCAAAATATAAAGCTAAGTTTTTAGTTGGTGATAACTGGTTATGAATAATACAAATAATATGAGAGTTTCATCCTTTTTCTTTCTAGTTCTCTTTCAAGGAGAGGGAAGATTTCATAAGAAAAAAAAGTTCAATGTGTCATCAGAAAACACTGAAATCAGTTTTCTGCTTTCAGGTTTTTTTGAACTAAAAATGAAAAAAAAAAAAAGCCACGGTCTTTCTGTGAATTTGTGGAAATTTCCATTTAGGATGAAAAAGACATTTTTTTATTCTTGATGAAGCTCCAATGCAGATTTTATCCAATTTCACCACAGTGCACCAAGACTGATCTCAGCGGCTAAGGATTTACTCTGGTGATGAATTGAAGAAATAATTCCAGTGTAAACTGATAGTTTTAAGTATTAAAGAGGACAAGATGAAGGCGTAAGACCAGCTCTTATTTTGTAAGAAGCTCCAGCACTCAAGTCTATTTATGGTGAGCAAATGTATGTTTTGGGGGCAGATGTGTATGTCTTAAAGAAACCAATATTGGCTTTTCATCCAATCTACTCACTTCTGCTACTCACGTTGGTTGAAGAGGTGGTTCTTCCTACTGTTTTTCCACAAGGAAAAGAAGCACCTGAGGACCAGCCAGAAAGGAGGAGATGAGGCCATGGAGGAGCTGAGTGCTCCTTCACATAGGACATGGGACACCTTGTCACCTTTCCACCACTAGCCCCTTTTGAGGGGTGATCCAGTTGGGGTGATCTCCAGCTGATCCAGTTTAGCTCATGTTCCTTCCTTCTTTTATATTCCCTCCACATGCAATTTGGAGAACTTCCATGAGCCTTGCTCATCTTTGTGCAACCAGATGTAACTCCGGGTTAAAACTGCTGCAGACAAGAGCCACCTCAGATTGACACTGGTGTAAATAAGAGCTATAACTCTTCAAAAAACGACCTTTTTCAACATTGCATGAAGGTTACATGATCCCCTGCTTAGTATGCACATGAACTAGGATGCCACAAACTTCCCTAGGGTTTTTTGAGGGCTAAAGTAAAACTTAATTATACCAATTGGTCAGACAGACTGTTAAAACTTTTGTTTCATGTACACTTTTTATTCCCTCTTCTCCATCTTCTCCCATTTGCCAAAACCTCCTGAAGAGAAAATAGAGATTATTTTACTTTTTACCTTAAAGGGCTCCTTGTGTGCATTTGCCTTATTAAATAACTGCCAGAATATCTAATATTCCATGGACAGCGCTGCTGAAAATGAAGCATAACATTGGTCACATGAGCAAGTTTCACGTTCAGCATTGTCCCTAACTTGGTCTACAGCCAATGAAAATTTCATACCATGCATCTGGTGGCTACAGATGAGTCTTTGCATTTAAAAGGACCTTGGAAAACACAGGCTTTTCTCTTTTCATCATTGCCATTTTGAACATAATCATAACCATTCATTTATGCCTCAGGTTTTTGTCAGCCAGATTTGTCTTTCATCTGTCCCTGCGCGGGGCTGAGTGTTCTGGTGCTCCTCGACGCTGTTATTTTTGCCAGTCTTGCAAAGAGGAGCTCGCACATGTTGGGTAGAGCAGAGCTAAATCCAGCAACAGATATTATTACTAATCACACCAGCCTCCAAACTCTACCAGAGCAGTGACAGAGAAATGCAGTTGCAACTATCTACTCTAAGTCTATTAAGTTTAAGAAGGAAATGAGCGACTTTAGCRTCTTCAAAGCAGCCAGCTGAATATCCAGAATGCCTCAGCGCATCTGGCTGAAATGCACTGTGCAAATTGATGCATCATTAAGTTTTCCTTTAATGATTTAAGGGGGAAAAGACCTTTTGCTGCATTTCCAGAGAAGGTCGGTTTTCCCTTTTCTGGCACATCTGCAAGGTCCTTAATAGCAGATGGAAGGAAGCGGTGCTCCCTTTCTGCACGCACCTCTCAGTAGTGAGCCCGCTAATGCGAGGACTGTCGTATTTTTATGTTTTACCTATAAGAAACCCAACGCCGAGCGCTGATACGTTACCTCGCGATGGCAGCTCTCTCCCTTTCCGGTGGGTTTGCCAGTTATTAACTAGGAGGTTCCATTCCCTAAGACCTCAGGCAGGGCTTTCTTGCTCCATGGTGAAACGTCGCCTACCTGAGGCTCCAGGATCTTGTTCAGCAGCTCCGTCCAGAAACAGCAAACTCAATCTCGCTGCGGCAAGCCGGGGCAGARCGGGAATCCAAACCACGAGCTGCTGGAAACCAGGCCGGCTCCTGGCGAAGCCAGAAATTTCCACCCTGTTTTCTGAAAGGATTTCACTTGTCCGTGCATATGGACAGGGAGGAATATGCAGCTCCAGTGCTAACAGCCTGGCTGTAAATCATCGCGTTAAACTTCACGCCACATGTGGACCATGGGTTTTGAACAGTTTTTCCCCAAGTTCTTCTCTGAGGTGCGTCGCGGGCTGCTTGGAGCACGGCCAGGCGCCCTCTTGTTGTATTTTCAGGCTTTAAGGAACCCTTCCTGAGAAACAGGCTTGTAATTCTGTTAAGAGATAGGGATATCAAAGAGCTGGTGGAAACTCAAACATTGATAACTTTATACTAGATAAGAAGGCATCAGTGCTCTAGAATCCGAAACAATTTCTTGCACTGTCATTTGTCTTTCCCCCCTCAGTTCCTCTTGCATAAACCCCACACCCAGGCAGGAGAAACATCTCTCCATTCCCCTTTCCTTTTTCACTTCACTTTATACCTGACTCCCACCCCTTTGCAGGACTTGTCATTCTCCCAGCCACTTAGGAGATAAGAAATTTAAAGCAGGTATCTAACTTTGTAGAGCAGTGGCAAGATGATTCCTCATTCAGATGCAAATGACCTATTAAAAGATAACTAGACATGCCGCTGGGAATAATCCATTTATATTTCAACATTGCACATTAATGCTTATTTCGGCACCCTAAATGGGCTAGAGAAACAAATTAATGTGCTGGAGCAACAGTGGGTGTCAAATAAAATAAATAGGATTGAAGATCTGATCCAGACATTTCAGAAAATTCTTTGAGCCTAAGTTAATCCAGAATGTATTTTGAGATGCTTAGCTGAAGATCAGTTATCATGTAAAAAGTCTTAATCACGTAGAACAGTAGAAATTAGTAACTGTATTTATTTTATGATTCATATAAGGAGCGTTGAGTTTTTTCCTTTAAAAATAATTGATAGAACATTTCTATCAGAGTGGAAAGAGAGTTACGCAGGGTATCTTGGATTTAAGCAAGTGAGCAGAGGTGGGAAAATGTGTTTTAATAAATTTTGATCTTGCATGAAATGTACGCGTTAAAGAACTACTAGGGAACCAAACTGTTTCAGAACGATTGAAAATGTGAATGTGACACATTTTACTGCACTCTGAGTAATTTCCCATGGAAAAAAAAAAAAAAGTGAGGGCTTGCTTAATTTAAAAATAATGTGTTTTGTTTTCCTTGATTGCCAGGAAGAAATTGGGCCATTGGACTGTTWCAGAAGCCTATGGCCCAAGTGAAGGCAACCAAGGGGGACTTTAAGAATGCATGGGGGGTTTATTTCTAGATTTTGGCTTCCAGGTGGCCAACATGGAAGAATCTTGTGTGTTTCAGGAGGCTGGGACCGAAGCAAAACAAGAGTGATGCCAAAAAGGAGCAAATACRCTCAAGAAATCTGCCTGCAGCTCTGTGATGTCAAGGGCCAGGCGWGAGGTTCCCCATGCATTTTGTTAGATAATGCACTTCTCGGTAGCTTTGCTAGGACAGCATGAACCTGAAAACYAGCCTTAGGACAGAGAAAAATACCTTATCTCGCTTTCAAGCAGACAGTCATTTTTTATTGTCCAATGTTGATTTGTAATCTCAATAATAGTCCCTTTACCTACAGGAGTCCACCAAACAAAAATCTAAATCCTGAATATAGATAATTTCCAAACTCTGAACTTAAATTCTCTCCAAGATGAATATGAAGATGATAAAAACAGTAAATACACAAGAGGTCTGCAGCAGATTAGCTTTCCATGCGGTGTGCTGGGGAGCTCCAGATTCCTCCTGCTGAGGATATTATGTCCTCCCAAACAGTGACAGGAGAATTCACCCCTTTCATCTCTATGGGAAAGGAAGATCCCAAACAAGAGTCTGGGTTAACTTTAGGAGTCAAAAAAGAAACTAACCGTGCTGTATGGAAAAGTGACATTTATATACTCTACATAGAGATTTTTTTTTCCACTATGGAACTGTTTAAGTTTACTTTTTTTTTTTTTTTTTTTTAACTGCAGCCATGGGAAGCATTTTAGGACGTTTTGTACACCTGCTAGCTCCATTTCATTTGTTTAAACACATTTTATAACTGCAGTTTATATATTTTTCCAAGAAAATAAAAATGCTAAAAATATAATGTGGTGCTCGGGCGAATGTAGGTGAGGCTCTGCGGGGAACAAGAGGGCCTCATCTTGGCACGTGTTCCACTTTATGCCAACTGCAGCACATTCATCATTGACGTGCTGGACGGGGATTACCTCGGCGCTCTCGCTCGCGCACACGTTTCTCCTTTGCACCAAAGAGCAAAACGGTCTGCAGGACACAATAGGGCTATTGGGCACGGGTGCTGCTTCGCTGCTAATGACAGGCTTAGCTTCGCCAAGGTGTTGGTGCTATTAGCCTTGGAGCAATTTTCTGCTCCGTTGGTGTGATATGCCCCAGCCCTTGCGGTGCAGTCATTGTGCTGGAGCGCCGCCAGCAAGAAAGGATTTCTATACGTTAAATATCACATTATTCCATGGAAAAGCCTTTGCAGGGAGAGGCAATGCTGAGCTCAGAGATGATATTAAAACTGTCTTATAACGAAGGGCCTGTTGTATTTTTTACATGTTGTCATTCGCACTGGACTTASTGCCCCTCTGTTTAGCAGCCTCGCTGTTCAGCTGCAATGCAGGACTGTAACCATAGTTGGGGCTCATGACACGCAAAGAGAGGTTTTATTYCTGGACCTTGAGAAACATGAGTTTGGAAGGGTATTTTTCAGAAATGTTGGCAACTTCCGGCAGTTAATGTGATATGTTGATCCAAAGCCTTTTATCTGATTACAGAAATACAAAAAAGCAAAGCTGCTTTGGGTCCTGTATCCCCGTTGTCCCGAGGAGCACATTATCTTCCACAAATCCCATTTCAGCCGTGTGCTGCTAGTGCCTCTGGGTCCAGAATTGTTATCTTCATTTTATGAAGTGCAGAACAGCGAGCGTAGTCACTGAAGTGCCATTTTTAAGGCCTTGCAATCAGCTATTTTAAGTCTTGGAAGAGAGAGACCTCCTCTCCAAGAATGCTGGCTACTGGTCTAGAGGGCCTGCACTAGCCTGGCAATAAATAATGAACCTGCTTCTGCTGAAAGCTTTAGTAGAGGTAACTACTGGAGGTACTTGGAGCTTCATGGACCATYGTGGAGCTCGCCTATCCTCGAGTATGGAAAAGCTTCCTGCCCACTGCATCTGTGACCTCAACGGTTACGTCACCTCACCACAGAACATGTTCCCTGGCACATAGGGCTCTTTTTCCTTCTCAGCGAGTTGCTGTTCTTCGAGTGGAGCTCCAGACCAGCCAGCATGATTCAGAGCTGCCAAACGACACATTAGCATAACGCAGGGAGAGGGAGGCTCCATTCCCAGCAAGCGCCGATGGAGCCCGGCGCTCAGTGCCTCCCTTCAGCTCCCCGGCCCCCTGTGCAAGGAGCTCATGACCTTGGATCTTCTGTTCAGTTTGCGCCCTCCAGAATCCACGTGGTCTCCTCATATTGGCCTGCCCCTTCCCTAGGCGATCCCTAAGATCCTAGGGAAGGATCCTTCCTTCCCTAGGAGTGATCAGAGAGGTCTGTCGCCTCTTAACGAAGCCACATCTCAATCCTCTCCTGCTGCTGATGTTAATTGAGAGATAATGAACAGAATAAAAAGGAACCCAAACAAAACGAGAGCGTGTTTTGCCTTCTATATTTGAAGAGGAAAAAGAATAGCCTCAAGACAAGAAGACTCCCTTACGGCCAAAACGACTGACAAATTCTTGTGGCTTTCTCCAAAAGTCAAACCAAACTCCAGCCGCCAGCCAAGCTGAGTTCTGGCAATCCTGCATTGCCTGGAAATGAGCGCAATCGTATCCTAATAGCTATTTGGATAATTGTCCATARGAGTGATCTGCCAACCAATGTTGGAAGCAAGTCTTTATTACAAATATAGCATGAAGTCTAATCTGGAATACATTAAAATGTTATTTCTGTAACTGCCTTTTCCCGAACTTTAAATAATGGCTAAACCATTTATCAGCTTTTGAAGAGAAAGGTTGTGTATACCGCACTTTAGAGCAGATGGGGAAAGAAGTCTTGAAATATTCTCCGTCTATACTCTATAATTTTTGGTCCCTCTTACATTGCTGAAAATTATTGCAAAACCATTTTAGATTTCCTGAAACGGGCATGATATAACGTAATAACAAAAATGTCATTTTAGGCACCTGCTACAGACCTCGAGCAATATCATTAGAGGCTACAAGTGGCCCAAGCGGCCAGACCCGCTCAGGATGTGTGTAATGTGTACAAATATTGCACAGCGCTTGGTCAGATATGTCTGAACAATTCATCAGCAAGGAAAGATGACTGCTCACTAAGGACAGAGCAGAGGCAATTCTGTGCCTCTCTGTACATTTAACACAAAAAATATCCTTTGTCATATTATCGTTCTCTTTATTTTACTGGCAGACGAAGAATCCATAATGTGGGCCAGGTGAATGTGTTAGTCAATGATTGTAGTTCAAATTCTGCTCTCAATTATGTCGCTGGTTTTGCATAATCAGAATCAAGCCGGTGGAGTTCAGAAAGATCAGAATTGTAGCATCCACAGCATCAGTTTTCCTGCTGTGAGCCACGAACTCTTGGGCAGCCCGTGGACCCCTTGCATATCCCATACAAAACAACTAAATCACGCTCAGTCTCATGTTTGCATTCATTAGAAGACCTGAATTTTCTCTAGCAACTTTTTAAGGACTGCAAATTGAAAATTCAGTGCTCTGTAGCTTCATTTTGCATTCTCTTCATTCAATGGAAAGGTAAAACCACCTTGTATCCTCAAAGGAAGAGACACCAGTTAGATACAGCTCAGATATCTCTGAGTAAAATTTAATGAGTTGTCTCACAACTTGTATCACACAAAGAAGCAAACAYAGACCTTGTGATTAATGTTCTAAGTCTCAGTGACTCCTTTTGACTCTCAAAATACATTTTTTTTACATATAAATTTGAATTGCATCTCAGGCATCAAAGCCACTTATAACACTATAATGGTTCACTCTAAACTTTTTTTACTTGTTGTGTTCTCCTGTACCTCAAGAAGAGTATTCTGTGTTTGATGGATATGCTGGGACTGCCATATTTCAGTCTCTCCAGTTCTCTGTCTTTTTTTTCTTCTTGTTATATCTATTAAAGTGATTTACGACTTTTTCATTGTTCTGCCTGGAGTTTGGCCAACTCTTGAGATCAAAATCCAAAACATTCTCCTCAACGAAACATTAGGGTGACCAGAACGAAACAAAACCTGTGGAAAAGATTTGAATTGTGGGAAAGGAAATAACCCCATCTCCATAGAAACACACTCACGTTTTCCAGTTGCCCTTGAATAAATGAAGTTTGTGTTCTCTAATTTCTAGACTTTGATTTTAAGCACACCTAGGCTTAGTACCTGGGAATATTGTTAAAAATATCAAGGTTTCTCTGAGCAGCATTACAGTTGCACAGCAATTCTTTTTTTTTTTTTTTTTTCTTTTTTTTTTTTAATTTTCAGGAAACTACCATCAGATTTTTCAGAAAATGTCTGCAAAATGCACACAATCCACAAGGTGCTTATAAGAATTAGCTCTAGTGGCTAAGTTTCTACTCCAGAGTTGCAAGGCCTCCTAATGCCTTAAGAACTGCTATAGCAGTGAATGCCACTTAACAAGCCCCACGTGCGTGGCGTTACTAAAAAAGAATCCTTAAAGCTTTTGGCTTGAATTTACATAACATGAGTCTCCAGCCAAGTATTTGGATCCTTCCCTGAGCAGTAACAACTGGTGCCCACACGAGGCCATGGCGAGATCCCACCGAGATTCTTGGGCCATTGAACTGGGAGGAAGCTGAGATCCCCCAAAATCATTTTCATGTAACGTCTAATTCACATCTATTCATCTGTCCTTCACAGGTGGTTGTAGCATCAGGGATCCTTCATCTCCAGGTTTCTCTCTGGGTTAGGGCAGAGGTGGCCTTATTTTTAGCTCAAAATTTGGAACTTCTTTTCCTTCTGGGCCTTGATCTCTTAGTCATTCTCAAAGACAGGAGAAAGAAAAAAGGACTGGGTCTTGTAATTTTGGGGAAATTACAGTTCCTTTTCACCACAGAATTCTTTCTTTTCTGAGCTTAAGTGTATTTAGCCTTGTTCTGRACACTGGTTCTCAGCACTAAATCAACCAAATTATTCAGTAGCCAGCATACGGAGATGTTCCACACTAGACATGTAGCCTTGAAATCTTGGCTTAAGTCCTGCTGACATTTYCCACTGCCACGGAGTTATCACGCACGTTTATTTTACATCATTCCTCACGGTGCAGCCGACACTCCGATTCTYGCAGTGCTTTTTTGGCAGTTTCTGCAAATGTTTTAAAATGGCTTCCACAGAGCAGAATTGTCCCTGGCTGCTCAGGGAACAGGTAGAAGGTGTCTGGTCTTCTTTCACTGTTACAGCAGACTCGCAAAGACCCAATAGCTGCAGGGATCAATAACCCCTGTGTTTTCAGCCTGTGCTTATTAAAGGTGGTGCATGGAAAAAAAATAAGAAACTTTCTCTATTTATATCTGGAACTTAATGAAGTGAAATTATCACAGCCGACAGGCGCTGGTGTTGTAATTCAGAGACATAGCTTGGCTTAGAGGGATCTGCAGGCTGTTTTTATTCCAAATAATAAAAAAAAAGAGTGAAACTTAATCCCCTAATCATTTCCAATTTACATATTCACAGGTCTTATTTCCAGCCTGCTGGAAGAAAAAAAAGATAGTGTTGGAGTCACGAAGCGATTATTTGATTAAGTAATTATTAATCCCAGAGTGCTCTGATTAATTCCGAGCAAGTTAAACAAACGCATTGGAGCTGGGCTGGTCACCTTCACGCCATTGTAACGTGCAGGGGCAAAGCTGGAGGAGATATATTTTTACCTGCTCTACACTGAGGAGTTTTGTTCACTGAAGGTT